ACCCAATATTCTCCACATCCACCAGCGCCTCAAGCTCTTCAAACCCACCAAACTCTGGGTTTTTCTCAAACCCACCAAACTCTGTGATGAAAATAAATGTGCATTTCAATTCCACAATCATATATTTGGTTTCTAAGAAAATAAAAATGAAAACAAAAGCTGACCACTCAAAATTGCTCACAATCAAAATCAAAAGAAAACAAGATGCCAAACAGGGCAACTAGCAAACCCAGATCTGGGTTTTTCTCGAACCCTTCCCCTTCCTCCCAAGATCAGCGGCGACAATGGTGATGATGAATCTGCTTCTCCTTTGTCGTCTTCTTCTGTGGAGAAGCAAGAGCAGGAGCAGGAGCAGAATCTGGTGCGAAGGAGAACCCAGGATCTGCAACTCGTAAACGATCAAGGAGGAATCAAAAATTGATTACCTCGAAGGGTGGAAACCAGAATCTGGAAAGGGAAGAGAAGTCGAAAGAGATGGAGAAGGAGAAGAAATGTTGGGGAAGAGTGAAGAGGAAGGGGAGAAAAAGGAAGAAGAAGGTTAATTTTGAAAATGATTTTAATTAATTAATAATAAATGGTTTTTATTTATTTGTTTAAAATTAAAAATGCCACATAAACAAAATAAAGTGCCATCTCATCAATTTTCGTGTGTTATCTTTTCCACATCAGTATTTTTTCCAAAAAAAAAGATTTGCTGGCAAATTAACGTGACACCTGTTATTTAACTGACGGAAGGATTATTTTGGTACAAAAATAAAGTTTGAGGATAATTTTGATACTTTTTAAAGGTAAGGGACAATTTTGGTACCAAAGTGTAAAGTTAAGGGACTAAAATGGTACTTAAACCACAAAAATACAATAATTACACCCTTAATTAGTACTCTTAAGGCACAAGTTAGAAAAATCATTTTTCAAAATATCTTTGAACCAACTTAACATTTTGACAATAATCTCTCCTTAAATGATTTTAATTAAACATATTAATCACAAAGCTGATACATGAATTTAATCTAATTTTTATCTTTTAACTGGAGCTAAAAAGTCCCTGTAGCAATAGCTATTAACTAAAGCAAAATAGAGGGATTTGTTTTACTAGCTTTAGAAAATATGTTCAAGTAATATTAAAGACATATCTTAAATCAACTCAGTGTATTAAAAGAAATTAATTTTTTAAACATTAATGTTTAAACATATTAGATCTAACTTATAAAATAACACTTCTAACTATTAAATACAACCATTAAAGTTAACCGTTACAAGGTGTCCAAAACTCTATTTGCAATCTTATATATATACACCTAGGTTGACTTTATTGAATTGAAGGAAATTAACTGGTAAGATTATTTCTAGTTTTAGTATGTTTGTTTATCATTAATTAATGGATAAAGCCCGATGGTTGATCAGATCAAAAGAAAGCAAAGGTGGGTTTGTAACAAATCCAAATAGTTTATGGGGTTTGAGAGGAAATGATAAAGTCATCACAATCATGAAGTCAATATTTCAATTATGTAATGGAACAAAGTCATGCAAGTGAAATTCTATCTCTTCTCCATCAGAAGACTCGATTTCTCTCATATTGATTCTTTAAGACAACTTACAGGGTCATAATGCAAGACGTTCAGGAGCACAACTACTTGGAGGTTGGGTTAGGCATGAGTCCTACCCAACCTCAAGAAAATCAGAAATGAAAAGATTTAAGAGCAAGGTTGTAAATAATAATAATAATAATAAAACAAAACAAAACAAAAGCCCTACAATAAATTTATTGATAGAGCAAGAAAAAAGTCTTAAAATTAAGGTTAAAAGAAAAAAAAAAACTCTACCTTTGATTTCTCCCTGGATCTACCCCTGAAGACATGGGTTAATTTGTAGAGAATCCAATTTATTAGTATGTAGGAATTAGATGATAAAAAACCATTCATCTTAAAATAAGATAAAGGGTTGTCATTTGATATCTATATAACAAAAGGTTAGCTACAATAAATCCAAACTGACAAAAAACATAAATGACTAAAAGACTACGTACAAATGATTGATGGGTTTTATTAAGGATACTAGATAAACATATCAATATTTATAAAATTTCACAGCACAAATTTCACAGCAAATATTTTACATTAATATTTTTAAAATTCCAACTCATGAATGGTATCCTTTAGGGGCAAACTTACATTACAAAGAGGTTAGGCACATATTTATCCCTTTCCTAAAAAATTTTCATAATTTTAAAATCTTGTAATTGTAAATAATACACGAGATCTTTTATGTCTATAAGTGATATTATATATATTAACTCATTTAATAACATGTTATAATTATAAACTTACGTTTTTATGTGATATTATAACTATAGCATTACATAATTTTATATACTAGTTTTTGCAATGTATTGTAGTAAAGACTAATGAAAAAACTAAGTTGGAGAACATCTTCTCTTCTCCAGTTGAGTGAATGTTTCACTGTTATAAGTTCTCTTCTTCTCCTCTTCTCCTCTCCTAGTCCACTCTCTTCCTTTGAAAAAATCCTTAACAAAAATCCATTATGTAGAACAAAATAATGCCACAACAATGGAAATTTTTGTTGTGCTTCAATTAGGGGTCTCATCCAAGCAAAACTGCAAGGATCTACAAATGTTTGGTCGAATGATGAAAAAGTAAAACCAATTCATCTACCAACTAATAAATCTTGTAAATGTTAAAATCCAGCCAGTTTGTGCGGTTTGAGAAATAATAAAGTCTGAATCTCATGAAGTCATTCCTATTTCATAATGGAACAAAAGCAAGTGAAATTTTGTTCTCTTTTTCATAGGAAGACAGTTTCTTTGAATCTTTCAAAACAACTTACACAATCATAATACAAGACATGTGGGTTAACTTTTACAAAATTCAATTTTACTAGCATGTACGAATTAGATGGTAAACAACTATTCTTCTTAACATGAGATGAAAGTGTGCCATTTTGATATTTATATAACAAAAGGTCAGCCATAATAAATTCAAACTAACAAAATACAAATAAGTGAAAAATTATAGATAATTAATTGGTTTTAATAAGGATATTGGATATAAATGTAGACTGAAAAAGAAAATTACATAGTATTATAAAAAACATTCACATGTATCCAAGTACTTATGATTTAAACTAGTGTCTAAGATTTTCATCCTAGTTGTTGATGTTGTGTTGTTCTAGACACTTTGATCCAAGATATGACATCTACAATTATGCCATTTAAAACCACTAATGTCCACCAATCTAGAGGTTTACATTCAATTATGGTGGATAGTAGTAATAGATTTTTGGGAAAGGATGTATGTAACCAAACCCACCAAAGCACATAACAAGTTAATGTAACTAGCCATTGTCTATAATACAGGCGAGGTTCCAAACCGACTAACACCACAATACCATATGTGGCAATAGATAGTAAAGACAAAATCATACCAACGATTCCTTTAGTATTTGTGGAGAGCAAAGACAGATCCTTGGCAAAAAAGTGTCGTAACCAGAAACAGAAAACCACAAAACCAATTACTTCAAATAACCAATCTTTATAGTTTGCTACGGGAGATGTGATAAGAGCAAACTCGAATATGCCTTGTGCAATATTTACAATAGTCAAAATTAGATTGTTAATTGCTTTAGTATTTGTAGAGAGCAATGAGCTTCCTTTAGGAATGGGATAGAACTTATATAACCGGAGAATCCAAAACATACTACTGATATACTTGGGCCAACTAGATTTGACAGCAGAAAATCCAAAGATGGTTGATGCAGTATATACGACAGTTGATGAAAGAATAAAAAATATGCTACTACTTTCTGCCGTGGTGGTATTTGTAGGGGTCAATGACTGATCTTGTTCCAAATCCAACCAATACTTATCTAACCAGCTCTTGAAACAGAACAACACAAAACAAATGGAAGCAATTATCCATGTTGGAAACTTCAAGTCATAGCAATTGTAAGTAATGGATCCAATAACTCCAATGATAAAACTAAACAACCTAAGGTTTGTTCGCAGTCGTACTACCACCAATACACATAGAAAAAAAACTGCGATGCACAACATAGCACTCAAGCTCCTAAAGGAATTACTGTAAAAATTTGCAAAAAGAAGTGCTACAATAAATAAGGTGAAGTATGATGTTAAATTAGCCGTGCAGCCACACCTTCCATGAAGAATTTTGAATTGACTCCAAAGCTTTGAATGTCTTAGTAGTTCAATGCCAATGAGTACCAATAATCTCGTTTTGGCCCCTATTTCATAATATTTTGAGCTAAACCTTATATCTAGCAAAAGTAATGTTCCGAAGTGCAAGGCAATCTTACCAATAAGTTTGGCCTTTGGTTGTCCCTTTGTTGCTTCCTTGTCGAGATGAATCTGGAGAGCCTCTGATAGATTTTTCATCTTCTCAATGATCGAATCCACTAGAGCTCCCATTGTTGATTGGTAATACATCTTGAGAGCTTTCCATTGATTGCTCGTCTCCTCTTCAATCCAATTCTGCAGAAATATTACATGGATGATAAAACTGGTCACTTTCAATAACGGATGAAACCTGACAACCATCCTCACGCTCTTCACAATTTGCGGTAGTGCAGTTGAATCTCTCATATCTTCTGGGGGAAAGAGGAGAAAGAACTGGCTGCGCTGGTGGTTGGTGTATTAATTAATTAATTCATCACGAGTCCGGACCAGCGATTGAAGCCAAAAATAAGTCGTACGTCGTTTATACTAATATGTTGACTTTCTTTACTATTACATGTCCATAACTGAGATATGGGTCTATTCTAATTTTCATTTTTTAACTGAAATAAAAAAAGTCTACCTCAAAAGACTATTAACAGAAACGAAATGAAGGGATTTGGTTTACTAGCTCCAGAGAAAATGTTAGTGAGGAATTCAAAAATAATTCGTTGATCATTTGTATTGGCAACAAATAGACATTGACTAAATTGAATGATCCTTTTTCACTCCAAATAAGATATTTAGAGTTCAAATAGTACGAAGTGGGTTCATTTAGTTTGTAAAAAATAACTTTGTTTTTGAGGAATATTTCATGTTTGAGTTTGCCTGATCTGTACTTTAATGACACAAGTTAAAAGTGTATTAAATATATATTTTTGTTATAAATTTATATTAAAAAAATAAAAATCAACATTTAATTTATCAACTATTTAATTAAATTCAATTGACGCTAATATTAATTTTAATTTTTATATTTTTTATATATATTTATAATAAAAAAATATAATAAATATACCTTTATCATGTATTCTTAAGACACATGATGAAAAAACCTTTCATATTTTCCTAAGCATTGAATACGAAAAGTCATCATGAAAAATTGAAATTTTTTTTTCTAAACATTGAATTTGAAGAAGAATTTTTGCAGAAAAACTTTGAATTTTCCTAAACGTTGAATATGAAGAAGAATTTTCCTAAACAATGTGATGAAAAATTGTGGAAAAATGCCGACACGTGTTTGGCCAAAAAAGGAAAGAGAGGCAGCCACATGGGTGTTGTTTTTAGGCATGCTGTTTAGGAATAAAAAATGCTAGACTAGATTTCTTCTACCACAGGGACCATATTGAACACTAACGAAAGTAATAAGGCTTATTTAGGTTTCGTAAAAAAGTATAACTTAAATATAGCAAAATTTCACAAACATGCCAACAGCGACGGAGCTTGACAAAATTTACGGGGGCCAAAATTTTTTTCCAATCAACATTTAAAATAGTAAAAATATAGTATATATAACATCAGAAATAAATTGAATAAATAATTATCATTTTTATCAAAATCAATTACAAGAAAAAGTTATTAATAGTTTTATACTTTTTTATTGAAAATTCAATCCTCTAATAATAGTAACTTATAAATAAGAGATTAATACGTTTTAGTCCCGATTCTCAAAACAATTAGAGTCTCAACTTACATTTAGAAATTAAATTTTTAATTCAAAATTAAAAAATCTAACTAGTTTTTAAATCTAACTATTAATATTTAATAAGATAAATTTTTAAATTTTAAATTAAGTTTTGATTAAATAAAATGACATAATTTAATATTAAAACTCTAATTTTTTGAAAATTAGGATTGATATGCACTTTTCTCTATAAATAATACAAAAAAAAAACTTAAAATAAGTTGTATCACTAATAAGATAAAAAAATACACATGATTTAATAGCGAAGATTAAATTAATAAATTTATAATCAAGTAAAAAGAATAGTAAAATAATAATAATTCTAAAAAGGAAGAAATTATAAATATTTAATCAATCAACAAGATAAAAAATACATTTTAGAAAGTTAGAAGAAAAAAAAAGGTGAAAATGGTGCGTTAATCCACATACTTTTTACATTACTAGAAATTCACCCTTTTACTTTTCTTTTAAAATTTTTAACTTACTATTTTAATGTTGAAATAAATCAACTCATATTTTTTTAATTGAAATAAATCAATCCAAATTTAACATATGATATCATGTTACAACATAGTTTTGTGAAATCTATTTCAGACTCGTAATGTCATGAAATAAATCAATTTACTTTCTTTTCAATCTATTTGAAATCCGCTCCTCTACTTTTTTTAAAAAAAATTTAACTCACGTATTTTTATGTTAAAATAAATTAACTTACATATTTTTTTATTAAAACAAATCAACCCAATTTTTTAACTTATAAGTTTTTTATGGAAAAAATTATAAAAATTTTTATTTTATTTTATTAATTATGTAATTAAAATATTTTACATAATATTAATATTAAAAATAAATTTTTTTATAATAATTTTTTATGTAAATTAGTAATAAAAATATATAATAAATAAATGATTAATATGACACAAGTTTGAAAAAACCCGCAAGTCATTGTGGATAAAGACATTTTGTATTTTTTACATAAAATTTTTCAAAGGTCATTGGATATTTATTTGTTAAATGTTCCAGAGGAGACACTGATTGAGTATTGGAATATGAATTGGGTCTTCTTTGGTGGGACATGTGACGTGGGCCTCCCTTCAACTTGGAGCACTACTATTGGTATTTGGTATTGAAATTTCAAATTTGGCGTGTGGGTCTTCAAAGTCGTTATTCGCCTGTCATCTGTCTCATTTAACGTAGGGTCTTTTGTGGACTTGGATTAATACTATTGGTATTGGAATTTGGATTGATCCGAGTGATTTAGGTTTTGTTAAATAATATTCTCTTAGTGTTTTATTAATTTTTTTAAAAATATGTAAAATATTAATTAAAATAAATATTAAATATATAAAATATATTTTATATATTTTTAAAATATTTAAATATAAAAAAAATTAATAATTACAATTACAAACTAACATTATCAAATTAAGCATTAAAGTGATTTGGCATGCTTCTAGGTCATTTGACGTCGGGAGTAGGGACGTGGGATCCTCCGTGGACTCTGATTTTATTTATTTATTTATTTCTTTTTTTTTGGTGATCGAATTCCGTGAACTTTGATCAATAATCGCATTTGACGGTCACTTTCTTTATAGCAACGAAGTCATGTTAACATTCTTCTTATTTGAAACTGTGGTCTACAAACGGATGCTTTTTCAAATGTAGGAAGATGGCTTTATCCAACAGTAAAGAAACGGGGATCATGTGTTATAACAGACTTAAAGCAAAATAATTTATTTGGATGGACCTTGACTTAAGACTTGCATATATAACATAAGGGCCCTCTACTGTCCAACCACGCCAAAGAGGTCAGAGCAGAGAACATTCTAACAATTATCAATAAATGATCAGACTTCACAACGTGTAAGTGCAAATGAACTAAATTGATGAAAAGTCATTACATTACTACTTTGTACTAATCTCAAGAACATGAACTAAAGTTAGAGTAAATGTCATTAAAATTGGTATAAAAGAAGCAATGATGACTAAGAACTTAGTTGTAGATTAACAAAATCCATTTTAGAGAATGAAATAATACCGCAATAAAGTAACTATTCGTTGTTTTTGAATTGCGGTTTCATCCAAGCAAAACTACAAGGATCTTCAAATGTCTAGGCCAAGGGTTGAATGAGTAAATGAAAGCAAAATCAACTTTACACAATGACACAATGGTTAACCAATGGACTGACAAACAGGAAAACCAACCAGATACGAAATCTGTGGCCTTTCTCAGAAATGAGTCCTGATAAAGGGAAAATGTTTTTTTTTTAAAAACCAATGATGTCGTTTTCTACAAATCAAATGGACCCTTAATCTAAATTATCAACGCAACAACACTATAGCTCTGCTCAGGTCCTTCATTTATCTCACGAATTTAAATTTGCCCAAGAAAGTAAGAACTATCTCATAAGGAGTCACATGAGAGAAGAAAAGGGCAATGCCAGGTTGTGAATTGAAGAGCTTGAGGAACCGAGGATAAAAAAGCAATTAATTAATGAAAAACCCAAATAATCAGATAAAAATTTGTTTTATAATTTGAATTATACCAAATATTTATTTAATAATTAGGATTGTTTATTTTGATATAACTTAGATTGCACAATTATTTTTATTAAGTAATTTATATTGGTTAAATCTGAGGACTATCTGATTGACAAATCATTAATTAAAGCCGCAGCTAAAAGGCCAAAAGAGCTCGTTTTATACCCCTTTTTTTTCGCATACTATGCTTTCTAAAAATTAACAAAATACTCTAAATTAGATGGAAAATTGTTCGTGAATGCACCTACAATCTTGAACACGATTTTCAGCCTTTATATCAATTCTTTTTTAAAAATCTTCTTGAATGCCTCCATTCTAACCTGCTTAAGTAAAATAAGAAAGACAAAAAGAAGTGTTTGCATAAATTTTTTAATTAACAAAAATGTATTTGTTGATGTATAAAGTGATAATTGTATTGTCTTATGAAGTATGTGGAAGTATGTACATGGAAGTAGTTAGTGCAGTAATAATTACTGTGGGCAATGAGAATCAGCAGTTAATCATGTTCGTCTTTCGTCATCTTATAATGTTTACAAAATCTAAGTACGTATGTGTTATTGCAGGGAACTAATCGCAAGTACTTTTAAAACACTGAATTTGCAACAAATTCTTGCAAACATTAACTTCCAAAAACTTAAAAATTTGGCTCTCGCCGTCGCTACTAGGGTTCTCCCTCTCTGACATGCGAGCCTCTCACCTAGGTGCACCTCCCTGTTTTTTGCAGGGCCTCTCTCCTCTTTATTTCCTTTTTTGTTCCTTCCTCCTCTTCTTTCCTTTCCATGGATCAGACCCGTATAATGACCTAGAATTATCGAGGCCTTGGAGAGACTTCTGCAATTTTAGAGCTGAAAAAACTCTGTTTCCAACAAAAGCCGAGTATCATCTTCCTCTCTGAAACAAAGCACACAGTGGTGGAGATGAATTCGATCCGCTCAAATCTAGGGTTTGATTGATGCTTTGCTGTTGATTGTGTAGGGAGGGGGGCGGCCTTACTCTGCTCTGGATAGATGATTTTACCTTGTCTATTTCCTCTTTTTCCCAATCTCATATAGACGTTGAAATTGTCGATTTGAGTGGAGGTCAATGGCGACTCACAGGGTTCTATGGAAATTCGGAGGCCACCCAAAGAGAGGAATCATGGACCCTGTTAAAATCCCTCAAGGCTGCCTCTTCTCGACCAGGTGGGGATTAATGGCGACTCACAAGGTTCTATCTAGGATTTGCACTCGAGTTTGTCGTTGATTGGGTCGACAGGAGGGGTGGATTGGCTTTGATTTGGACAGATGTTTTTCGGCTGCACCAATCCCTTGTTTTACAATCCCCTTTAGCTATTGCAATTGTTGATCCGGGTGGTTGTCGATGGAGGTTGATTGGGTTTTCTGGTCAAAAGCAAAAGGAAAGGATTGTTGTTGGTGAAGTCGGTGGTGTTTTACAAGGGGAGAATGCCACTCCAGTCGCAAAAGCTACTCTTGTTCCCTTATTGAATTTTGGCAACAAGGGCTTGCAGAGGATTGGAACAGTTAGGGTCATGGTTGGGAGCCAATGGCGACGAGGGAGGTGCCTAGGTTTGTATGGAGGACCATGCCTCTCCTGTTGATTTTTCCTCAAGAATAGATAGGGCGGCAACTTGTGGGTTGTGGACTGTTTGTTGCCAGAATCCCTTGTTCTCTCCATGAAGCTGGTTAAATAAGTGAGGAAGTCCAGTAGCTTCTGATGCTCATAGTGACTCTCCTTTCTACATTCGTAGTTTTATTTAGCCCATACAACGATTGTAATCACAATCTCTAGTTTCAGATGACTCTCTTTACTTAATTGTCTATATCCATCATGGGCATAGTTTAAATCAGTTACTAGTGCTGTTTATACTTCTGAATTCTGTCTTTAGAATATGCTGCTTTAGGCTATATTGCCATGAGATGGAGAGTTATATTGTAATTTCTCATTATTTAATATATTTCTCTATTTTCTATCCAAAAAAATACTTAAAATTTTGAGGGTATCAATTTTTTTGGAGGAGGAAGGCAAGTAATGTTACATAGAGGGTGTTTGACAAATTTTTAAAGTAGTTTACTTAAAATAAATTTTTCTCTTAAGTTTAAAAATTTATTTTAGAAAATTTTAAATATTAAATCTTAAAGTGGTTTTTAAATAAGTTTTGAAAAAATTATGCTGGTAATTTTTTAAAAACACTTGTACAAAAATTAGTTTAAAGTTAATTTTGAACCTTCTTCTAAAAAAAATTAAATTTAAGAGAATTTTTTTTAAATAAATACTTTTTAAATTTACGAAACTCTCTTCTAATTCAATTAATCCTCAAGTGGGGACGTTAATCCAATTATTTGAGGGAATGATTTTAATTTTATATTTCTTGAATTTAAACTAGAAATAGATAAGTAATTAATCATGCCCATAGAATATTAGTGTATATTTGGGGACATTTTTTTTTTTAATTGTACAATAGGAAGAAATTTTCTTTCTTTCTTTAACTCACTCCACATAAATATCTTGCAACTCAAATTTAAATCTCTTATTTCCATTAAAATTTTACCAAACACCCTTCTATTTCAATTAATCTTCAAAATGGGGGACGTTAATCCAATTATTTGAGGGAATGATTTTAATTTTATATTAAGCAATTAATCATGCCCCTAGAATAATAGTGTATGTTTGAGGAGATAGTTTTTTTCTTTCTTTAACTCACTCCACATAAATATATTGCAACTCAAAATTAATTCTCTTATTTCCATTAAAAGGAAATTACCACTAAACAACTACTTAAGTTGTTGGCCTATTAATATCAAACTTAATTTGCAATGACAAGATTACAACAAAAAGGAAAGAAAAAGAGAATAAAAATGAGACGAGATTGGTATTTCATATTTGGCATTATTTTGTCACAAAGTTAAAAGAAAAGAGGTTGATTTCAATAATCAAAAAGATAGAGGCAGAAAAGAAGAAGAAGAAGAAGAAGAAGAAGAAGAATTTTCCCCCTTTTTTGGATACATAGCTGAAATATATTTAAATCAAAAAGATAGAGGCAGAAGATAGAGGCAGAAAAGAAGAAGAAGAAGAATTTTTCCCCTTTTTTGGATACATAGCTGAAATATATTTAAATCAAAAAGATAGAGGCAGAAGAAGAAGAAGAAGAAGAAGAAGAAGAAGAAGAAGAAGAAGAAGAAGAAGAAGAAGAAGAAGAAGAAGAAGAAGAAGA